TGTGTGTGTGTGTGTGTGTGTGTGTGTGTGTGTGTGTGTGTCCAGTGTGTGTGTGTGTGTCCAGTGTGTATGTCAGTTTGTCTGGAGCTACAGCTAATAAGCTGTAATAAGCCACCCAGTGTGGGTGCTAGCAATCAAACTTGGTCCTCTCCAAGTACAGCAGGCTCTCTTTACCTGCTGAGCCGTTTCTCCAGCCCCTTGAGATTTTTTCAAAAAACATGTTTCTGTAGGGTTTGCCCACCAGACCCCAGTGTGGAATGTATTCCTTATTACCAGATGGTAGCAAAGGATTGAAAGGAAATGGCTTGCCCTGGGACAGGAAAAGTAGACCTTATCCCACCCAGTGAAGCACATAGGATTGTTCCCACCATATATACTGTATCTCAGTGGTTTCCTGTACTTGGCTTCAAGGTCTTTCCTTTCTACTACCAGCTCCTGTAAGAACTGCTTTCCTTCGTAGCTTTGTACTGTTTCTTCTTGTTTAGCTGCAGAGCCTGACTTTGTTTTGTGTCTACTTAAGGCCAGTGCCTATCTGCATCTCCCTTAAGTGCCTTATCAGCACTGTGGCGGTTTTAGAACTTTATTTGGCTCTCTGCCTCAACCTCACATCCAACCCAGAACTAACTTTTCACTTTGAGTGTTTTGACCTGAGCCGTTTCATGTTGGTTTGTGGCATTGTGTTTATAAAATGATATCCTTTGTTTTACCCAAGTCTTAAGTGAATTCCAGGATAGCTAGGGCTCTGTTATACAGAGGAGCCCTATCTCAAAAAAAAAAAAAAAAAAAAAAAAAAAGAAGCAGCAGCAGCAGCAGCAAAAGTGTCTTCAGATTTGTTATTGAAACTCATTCTCAAGATAACTCTGGTATATTAATGATTCGTGAAATTAAGAGAAAAATGAATATAACATGTTAATCTGTTGAGCTGTGATTTTGAGATGTTATCAATTTAGCTTTTTTATTTTTATTTCTTCTGTTAAAATATACTGACAGTTTGTTCTTTATTTTCAGTGGTCTGGCAGCTGGAGAAGATAATGGACAGAGGGGTTATTTGCTGACTTATGTCATTGCATACATGCGTGTAAGTTGTATTTCTGTCATTAATTACTTTCCTATTTCTATGATAAAACACCATGGTGAAGGAAGGCATCTTATAAAAGAAACTGTTTAATCTGGGGCAGAGGATTATAGTCCATGACCATCATGGCAGGGAACATGGCAGCAGATAGGCAGGCAGGCAGGCAGGCATGGCACTGGAGCAGTAGCTGAGAGCGCACCTCTTTATCCACAGTAGGAGGTAGAGAGAGTTAACTGGGAATAGTGTAGACTTTTGAAATCTAAAAGGCCACCCTCCCTCCCCTGCCCTCAGTGTCACACTTCCTAATCTTTCCTAAATAGTCCTGTGAACTGGGGACCCAACATTCAAATATATATGAGCCTATGGGGGCATTCTCATTCAAACCACCACATTGACTTAGATTATGAATAGTAGTTTTTCTTGCTTAGAATGGATAAAATTGCTTTATAAATTGTTTTCTGTATAAAGCTACTGTAATTTAGCGCATCATTTTACTTGAAAGCCTGGATTTACTATGACATTTTAGAAGGCCCTTTAAAACTTTTGTGTGTGCTTTTGAGGAACTTACAGATGATTTAATGTCTTCCTGCCTTTAAAAAAATGGAGCCAGCCTCTGCCTAAACGCTTTGTGCCTTTCTTAACATTACTTGGGTTGGAGTGAAGCTGTTCTATGTGGCAATAGTCGTCACTTGATTTATAATCCATCTTAAAGATTTATAAATCTTTTTCCTTTCTTTAAAGATTAAAACTTGATTCCAAGTAGTCATTGGTTTTCTGAAGTGATGATGCTTTTGCAGAAGTCAGAAACTGTGTGTGAACACTGCAGCCTCTCTTACCATGCACTCTGCTTATTAGAGGCTCAAGTCTGTTACAGTTACTACTATAAAACCAGCCTTTTGAAGTTTCAGTTTTTCATTTGTTCATTTAGCTTTGTTTTCCTATTTTGGCTGTACTAGACTCTGTTTTCTGGCTAAAGTTACTTTTATTTAGTTATTTTATTTATCTTAAAGGTTAATTGTTAGTTTTAATGATCTTGCCTAAAAAAAATGCATCAGCTGCCTTACTGAAAATTTGACTTTCCCAAGTGATAAATTTTCTAATTTTCCAGTTGGAAATTGTTTCGAGAGAAGCATTTATTAAAAATACACATAATTTGTTGTTGTTGTTGTTTTCTCAAAGGCATGAAATGTTCTCATTTTGTGATGATTTAGTCCTAGTTAAGGTCTGTTTTCATATTGTAGTGAATAGTCAGTTATCCCACCCCCAGGGATTCTTACCAGGAAAGCAGACTGACTGCTTGTTCCTTGTGTTAGGAACCTGACCAGGAGATGTGCAGATCATGCAAGGGCGTAGATGACTTTCACTATCCCAGGATCTTTCTAGAGGAAATGTTTATAAAATTAGATGTTTGCTCTGAGTATATTGAAGGATATATACTGATAGGTGTATTTTCTGCAACACTGAATTCAGAATTCTAAAAAAATTAATGCAACTGTAATAAGTACAGCATGATGTACTTTGGGAGAAATATCCTGTTTTTAAGGTTCCAGTTAATTTTGAGGCCATTGCAAAAACAAGTTTAGGGGTCTTTCTCCCTAAATTTATTTGCTTTTATCTTTTCATTTTCCCCATACATTTCTTTATTTTGTGTTTGAATATGTAGCTGTGTGTAGATGCATATGTCACAGCATGTATGAAGGAGAGTCTGCAGGAGTCAGCTCTTGTCTTCTACCTGTGGGTCCTGGGTATCAAATCAGGACCTCAGGCGTGGCGACAGCTGCCTTTACTACTGAGCTGCCTTGCCAGTGCTATTTGCTTTGATCTTTAAAACCCTTTTCTAGTGCATACTCCCATGTCACAGGAATGATTCCTAGACAAATGGGTATATACCACTGACCATACATTTTAGATTGGTAGATTTGGAGGCCTGTCCTTCCAACACTTAGTGGTATTGAAGTTATTGTTTTTACTATATTTTATTTATTTGTTTGTTTGTTTGGTTTGGTTTTTCAGGTTTCTGTTGTCTGTTTCTAGACAGGGTTTCTTTGTGTAGTCCTGGCTGTTTGGGAACTTGTTTTGTAGACCAGGCCGGCCTTGAACTCAGACCCACCTGCCTCTGCCTCCTGAGTGCTGGGATTAAAGGTGTGTGCCACCATACCTTGCTATATTTTCTAAATTTGTTTCTAAATAAAAGTTGATGTGAAAAAGTCCCCTCCCCCCACTGCCTTACCTCTTGTTCCTTTCACCTTGATATTCAACTTTTATATTGGCTATTTTATTATTTTGGCCACTAAATAGCTGTTCTCTTATCTCTTCCACATGTGCATAAGCTTTTCCTGGAGAGACTCCATGCATTAGAGAAATATTTCCTTTTCTGTGCCAGGTGCTTTATCTGCTGCTGAGGCTGTGGAGTGGAGAACAACCCACACAAGGCTCCTGCCCTCAGAGGCTGTGGAGAGCAGCACACAAAGGCTCCTGCCCTCAGAGGCTGTGGAGAACAGCACACACAAATCTCCTGCTCTCAGAGAGGTCACACCACATGTGGGAACTTTCCAGTGTTCTTATGAGATAAACAGCAGGTTAGGTTAGACCAGAGGCGCACTACTAACAACTTCCAGAAATTCTAATGGTTTATCAATTAGTGTGTCAGTTGTAATTTCATGATTTTTGTGTATCTTTACAGGATTTGGGTTTAGAATACTATGTAGTAGGAGAATCTTTTGAGACTTCTGCTCCTTGGGACAGGTAAAACTAATAAAAAGACTTACTCTGATATACTTTATAATTGATGCATGTATGTGGCTATGTAATTTGTGTGTGAATATGGAAAGTTTAAAATTTTTATAAGAAACTTTGAAATAAGGAAGGTACTCTTGTTTAAATTAGTATTGTGATCTGAATACCATTGCTTTCAACATTTATCCCACCTCTTTTCTGGATTAAGGTCAATTTGCTTGGAACTCAACAAACAAATATATTGAAGCTAACATTTTGAAGACTTACTGAACAAACACAAAATGCTACTGTGTAGTTTGGCTTAGCTTAGGTGACTTCTATGTTTAAATGTTATTTTGAAAGCCTCCTTCCCTACCCCACATTATAAAACCTTTTTGCCTTCTTTTGTAATGGGTCATTTAGTTTTTGTGTGTGTGTGTGTGTGTGTGTGTGTGTGTGTGTGTGTACATTTAACAATATTTTCCTTACATTTAAATAATTTCTGAAAGGAATCCAGTTTAAGATATTACGGATAATTTTTATTTTTAAATTTAAGCAAAATTTTGGTACTAAAACACATGATACAATATAAAATGTCCTGGATAGGATTCATGGCAAGTATTATTTGGGTTTCTCTACTGGAAACATACACATTCATATGCTCACACAGTGTAGGGAATCAATAGTAAAATGTGAAATACTTTTGTAAACATGGACTTTTTGAGTTAACTTTCAATAAATTCTTAAGGAATCATCAGTATTTTTTATTTTCTTTGAACATGCCTACATTTCACCTTCCTTCTTATAAAACGTATGAACTTTTTTCAGTCACTAATGAAGTACCAGGCTACAGCAGATCTTTCTCAACCACTATTTAGGCATTAAGTATTTAATATCCTCTTCTCCTAATTTCTTATTTTTTCCTCTAGAAAGCACCTGTCTTTTCTGTCTTTTCTACATTGTCTTAATCTACTGTGGATTCTGACATTTGGTGTACTGGTAGTCAAATTCCAAGAATTATTTGAGATGAATCCACTCTATAAGATCACTATGTTATTCTCTCCTCCAAAAGTGCATACTTTTTTTTTTTTTTTTTTAAACAATCTGTATGATTCTGGCTGTCTTTGAACCTGCCATGCAGCCCAGACAGAGAATGTGCCATCTTTTTGCCTCAGCCTCTGCTATTTGGATTATATTTATGTACCACCACACCCCTACTTTAACATGGGGACTAAATCTTAAAACTAAAAAGAATCGACAGCTGATCATCATTGATCCCTTTGGAGCAGTAATTTGGCAGGAAGCTCATGTCCGTTCTATCATTGAGGACTTTAGTCCATCATACTGTTCCTTACTGATGTCTTAGTATGGGTTGTTAATAAACTGGCTGGCTTATATGGTTTAAACTGAGATCTTTCCCCCTCACCTTGAAGTGTGGTGTCAGGGAACTTTGTGTGTGGGGTTGCTGGTGAAGGTCCTCTTGGTTTATGGAAGGCCTTCTTCTTGTGTGTCCTTATGTGGCTAAAAGCAAGCCTCTCTCCCCCTCCCTCCCTCCCTCCCTCCCTTCCTCTCTCCCTCCCTCACCCTCCTCTTCCATCCATTAGGACTCCACCCTCATGACCTGATTACCCTGACTCCTCCTATCAGGTAGTGTGGAAGTGTGGATTTCAGTCTGTGCATTCTGAGGTGGCCTTAGGCTTTCAGTCTTTTGTCACTGGGAAAATGGATTAATAGAATGTTACCACTTTAGCATTAGGAATTTCCTTGTTACCTGCTAATGTCTGTTATCTTTTTATTCTTCTAACTGGAGGCCAGTCAGCTAAATAAATATGTAAATACATGAACTGATGAAGAAATAGCTTAAGAAAAAGTAATATTGTATTCAACTGTCTTTTCTAGGGTTATAGATCTGTGTAGAAATGTAAAAGAGAGGATAAGAAGGGAATGCAAAGAAAAGGGTGTTCAGTTTGCACCTCTTTCTACATGCAGGTGAGTTTCCATAGTTGTTTATAAACTCATTCTGAAAAGTACTGTTTTAAACTTAAGTGCTGTGAAGGTGAATATGTGTGTATGAACTGTGTGTGAATATGGGCACGTGTGCCACGGTGCACGTGGAAGTCGGCCTGTTCTTCCACTCTGGAGTCTGGGTATTGAACTCACGTGCTCAGGCTTGCATAGCAAGTACTTTTACCCATAGAGTTTTCCCAGTGCCCCCAAAGTATTGTTTTTAAACAGATGTAAAATACAGTTTTCCAGCTGAGAAGTAGGTTTGGCCTGTTCCATGGGGCAAGCTTCCCTGAACATCTTACTACACTGTCATAACTGTGCCTCAGTCCTTAGCCCTGGAGACAAGGAACGCTGGCTCATGAGTGGGCTTTATGTTCTCTCAGGACCTCATGGCCATGAAAAGCAAGTGTGCAGGCTCCTGGAAACAGAAGCCTCTCTTGCTCCCTGGAGCTACAAACTACAGGTGGAGGCACAGAACCATGAACTATAGGAACAGTCAGTGTACCTGTGTCTTCCTTTGTGTGTGTGTGTGTGTTGGAGGGGGTGTGTAACTGTTTTCATTATTGATTATATCCATGGGAATGGAATAAAGAGCAAAAGGAGTGAAAGACTCAAGTGATAATTAACTTGTTGCTTTCCGATAGATGTTTCTTTGGTAATAGAAATATTCTGTATTTTTGTTAAGTTTGGTAGACACAAGCTACAATAGTTAGTAAGATTTTGAAATGTTGCTTCTGTGAAATTTAAAAAAAGATTTTAAGTTTAAAAAAAGCCACCTGTAATCAGTATCTTCCATATTGAGCAGTGATTGGTTAACTGATCTTATCCTTTTTATTAAATAACAGCAGCCCCAAAGGAAGCTTTTCTGAGAAGGGACCCTTCACATTTAGTTTTACAGTGTTAATTTTATGTAAACACCAGGTTAAATGTGTCAAGACAGAGGTGAACATTTGACTCTCCAGAAAGGTATGACAGTAATTTAAAACGGAGAATAAATGGCAGTCAGAACAGATCATGAGGAGAGAACCTTCAGAAAGGGTTACCAGTCACCATTCTACAGTGTGCAACTGCCTCACATTATTACTGTGTGTGTGCATCTATGTCTGTGAGGGCACCTCAAGTACATTATCTCCAGTCTTAAAGATACAAACTACTCAGAGTGTAAAATGAATAGAATACAGGTAACCTAAGGAACAAGCATACTTCAGCACCAAGCATTTCCTGTGTAAGCCTGTCTCTGGCTTATGGTGCCTTGACTTTGCAATGATACCAGTTTTGATGATACCTGTCTCCCTGTCACTCAGTACAACATGCAGTAACTACACATGGCATCTCAGCTTGTACTATGGAACAGGTTCGCATCTTGGTGATTTTTTCCCAGCTGTTGGCTGCTGCGGGTGTACTGAGCATGGTTGAGGTCTGCTAAGCGGTGATGTTTGGTATCTAGATATATCCAATGCACAACATTTTTACCTCACAGGGAGAGTTTTTTACACATCTCTGTCATTAAGTTCAGAGTTGTTTGTATTTCTGCTTGCAATGCCTGTTTCTCTGATTTATCTTATTTAATCTCAACCTGGGAAGTATACTTGAGGTTTTGTTCCATCCCCAGAATCGGCCTGTCTACTGTCTTGTCACCATGACAATGTTTAGATCACTTTAAAAGGTTTGGTATAAGACAGAATGCATCTGAAGGGTGGAGGCACTGTTCTGCTCTTTAGCAATAGTTTAATCTTTTCATGTTCTATTTTTTAATCCAAGTTTTTCATTATTTAAACTTTGAGGTAGGCCAAGTTTGGTTAGATCTGTTAGGCCCATCATATTTGCTATAGACTTTAATAGTGTTCTTATGTGCAAACGCTAAACCTGTAATATATTAATTGTGAATTTGTTGAAAGGTGGCTGTCTTAGGGTTTCTACTGCTGTGGAAAAGCAGCTTTTATTTCAGCTTACAAATCTGAGGGCACACTTTGTTGCTGGGTGAAGTCAGGACAGGAGCTGACTGATTCAGGAGGGCTCTCACTGGCTTGCTCAGCCTCCTTTCTTAGAGCACCTAGGACCACCCAGGGGTGATACCACCCACAGTAGGCTTGCTCTCCCATGCCAATCAGCAGTAAAGAAAATGTGTGATAGGTCAATTTGTGGGGACATTTTGAGGTTTGTCCTTTGTAAATGACTAGAGTCACATTGACATAAAACTAGCCAGCACAGTGGCAATGTTTTTATTAAAATTTGGTTACATATTCTATGTATTGATGTTAATGACTCCCTCATGAGTAGTGTATACTCTTAATTGCTATAAGCACACTTTACTTATCTATCCTTCAGTTTGCTTTTTTTAACTAATCACAGCACTTCATAGTTAAAATAGTTCTCCAATTTTCTTAAACTTGTAAATCTGGAACTTAAAATGTAAATGTTCAAGGGATCGTTTTTATGAGTGTGAATTAACAATAGAAGAAGAACACAGCTGGCAAATTGACATAGCATTGTTAAACAGTTCATTTCTTCTGTTCTGAGGCACCTAACATTTGGCCTAAAAGACCATTACAGTTTTAGATTAGATTCTGTTTGAACTGTGTAGTAAAAAGTATTTGTTGCTTCTGTTAGATTGAATCCTTTGTTGTATCTCTATAGCTTACATTTGGAAATTTGATTGTGATTGTCTAAACTCCCTTTACATGCTTCCTAATTGCATTTTGAAAACCTAGATATTTATTACGTGGATGATTTAAGAACTTCACATCCTTGGTATCTTTTGTACAGACACATATAGCATACCCATGGAGTCATGGACAGTATTTTAAGGTCATGCCACTGTGTTTGAGGTCATCATTTTATTTGTTTTTCAAGTCCTTTCTAATTATTGTGAAGAGGCTGTATTTAAGTCTGATCCTATTTGGTGTTTAAACATTTCCCCCACTTCTGAGCCATGTTTCTTTCTGTTAACTTTAAGAAGTTTGGAAGGCTTGTAACTCATCACCACATTCCATAAAGTCGGTTTGGGAAGTATTGTTTGTTGTAACATCTGAATAAGATGTTTTGTTCATTTCAGGTCAACTAGAAAAGCATTTGCATTGTTTTAAATTTTTTTTTAACTTTGGAGGGATAATAATCTAGACTTACAAAAAGTTGCAAAATAGTATAGTTGTGTTAGTTTTCTTCCTGATGCTGTGATAAAATACTCTGATAAAAACAACTTGAGAATGGAGATTTTTGTTTTAGCTTACTATTTGAGATACAGTCCTTCATGGTGAGCAAGTCAAGGCTGCAGGGGCCTCCAGGAGCTGGTCACATCCTATCCACAATTAGGAAACAGGACAACTGCATGCTGCTGCTGCTCACTTCTAACTCTCTACATAGTCTGGGATCCTCTGCCTGGGAATGGTCCTGTCTGAATTAAGATGAATTTGCTTGTATCAGTTGACATAATCACAGTAATCCCCTCATAGATGCCTCTAGACTCAGTCAGATTGACAATTAGCAGTAACCATCACATTTTCAGATACCATCTCACTCATTTTCCCAGGATCAATATCCAACATGGTTACATAGTATGTTTATTAAAATTTAAAAACCAGCATTTACTACTATTGATTGACTAGTTTTTAAGCTGCATAAAGCCATTGATATTACTTATCTATCTCCATATTCATCCGGTGTCTCTAGTATAACAATGATAGTAAAATGATACTAATTGTGTTTTAAGATAAGTGCCCTTTTAAAGTCTGGAGCTTAAAATTGTCAGCTTTCTTCACTCCTGTTGCTGTAGTCTACAAAGTATCCTGTATTGACTGTAGAGAGCTGTGAGTTTCTTCTAGCACTTCAATGATTTACTTTTTTTCTGCCTAGAATTTCTTGAGCCACAAGAATCCAATCAAATGCTATTGTTTTCAGAGCATTTATGTATTTTGCAGGTGTGATAGCTTGTTGGTGTTTTATCATCAATGTAGTTTCTTTAAATAATGAAAATTAATTTAAGTACTTGGTATCTGCATGTCATGATATGGTTCATTTTTCTGCTCCAAATAGTAATGAACCAATGAAGGAACAAGTTCCTTGTTTCTAATGTTGCCTTTATGGGTGGTAGATACTTTGTGTAGTGTGTCTGTTTACTGTGGCAATATAAAATGTATCCATGTGTATAGACTTGAACAATAATGGCACTGTGCTTCAAATATTGCTCTCTATTACCTTCAAGAAGAACTGATTGTACATAAGTTGGATGTAACAGGATAAGCTAAGTTATTTATATTGTCAAGATAAGGACTTTCTAAGTCACATTTTTGCTAGATTATTTTGACTGTGCATGTTAAAGCAGTTATGCCAAAACTTACCTGACTATATTTTGAATGTTTTCAGATATGCTATTTAAAATAAGGCTCTGTTACTTGTAGATAATTTCAATAAGCTCACTGAATGGTGTTTTTTTCATAAAATACTGAATTTTATAAACATTATTGCTTTATTTCCCTGTAGTTTTAGTACCATAGCTAAGCCATGTATTTGCAATTTTGATTGACCTCACATTTAAATGAAAGCAAAATCCTTTGTTCCCCACTGTATTCTTATTTTACCTGTTTGCAACAGCTGCAAAGAGAGCCAGTAGGCCCTTTTCTCTGGGAAAGGGAGGTTGAATAGAGGATGAGATTGTGGCTTGGGTAGATTGCCCAGTGGTCTTATCTTTGAAGTTTCTAGCTGTTAAATCTGTTTTCACTGAACTTAAAGCCCTTTGGGGATTTTGTCCGTTTGTCTTTTAGGGTGACACAGACGTACGATGCAGGTGCATGTATCTACTTCTATTTTGCCTTTAACTACAGGGGAATTAGTGACCCACTGACTGTGTTTGAACAAACCGAGGTAATTTTGCATATAGCTTTTATATTCTTTTATTAAGGTAAATAAATTTTAGTGTCAACTTAGGAACTTTAGTTTGAGTTACCTTAGTAACACATGGTTTGCCTGGCTGCTAGCCATTGAAATGAAAGATATGTTAAGTCCGCTGACTTCCAAATTGTCAGTCTGAAATTAATGTTAGGTGTTTCTGAAGCCTGTGTCTCTTTGGCTCTTAACTTTCAGTGCATTATAGCCAATTAAAAAACAACAGGAACCTTAATTACTGTAGGGGTCTTTGAGTCCCTTTGGCAGTCCATACATCTCCAGGTGGTAGCTGTTCTTGACGTCAACAGCCCCTGTATTCTTGATCTGTGTCGTAATATATTCCCATGTTTGTAAATTTTCATGATATGACTGTGTATAAAATCCTTGGGATTCATTTGCTAGCAGTTTGAATTTCTTAAGTGGCCTTAAGCTGCTGGTTTTTATAGACTTGGGTGTTGATAGCTATATTCCTTATTACAAGCAACATAGAATTCCTCCACTAAACTGGAAGAAGCCATAGTAGATGTGTCACTTAGACACACAGGTGCCCTAGTTTTTTAAGTTGATGATGTTTCTGCCAATGATATCTATCATCCTTAGAAGTTTAAGTATATTCTTTATGTTTTTGTTTGTTTTTAGCGTGTGTGTGTGTGTGTGTGTGTGTGTGTGTGTGTGTGTGTGTGTGTGTGTGTGTGTGTGTGTGTGTGTG